CAGACCAGTTTCTTCTTCACAGAACCCTTTCTTTGTTTTCTGGAATATTGCTATTCTTGAGTTTCCTACCTCTAGTACTTCCTTTTTCTCAGTGGCTGCTTTACTTCCTCTGCCCACCTGTTAAATGTTAATGACCTCTGACTCTTATCTCCCTTTCGGTGGCCTCCCTCATCTGCATGTTTTTTAATTTTGTACATGCAGCTAATTCAAAAATCTGAATCTTCCCTCCAGATTTCCTCTTTTGAGCTCAAACCTGCATAATCTTTGTCATTCTTATACAACAGTAATGTTTTCTACATTTTAAGCTGAGGAAATTGAAACTAAGGTGGTTTTGGTGAGCAATCAGTGAAGACTCAGGATTTGAACATTTGTCTAAAGTTAGACTTTTAAGTGAATATTATACTGTTAACCAAACATCTTCATTTGGCTGTCTGACAGATTTGTTAAATACATCATGTCCCATACCAAATGCCATCTCTACTCCATTCTCTCTCCTTCCCCACCCACACACAAAAAAATGAGAGAGAATATGAAAACCTGTATTAGTGAATAATGTTCCTACTTCTAGTTTTCCAAGTTAGAATGTGTATAGGGAACTAATACAGACTTCCCTTTCTCCACCCTACAGGCCTATCAGGCCCAAGGGAACATCAGTTCCCGTGTACTCTGCCTCTTTAACATGACTTGTAATCATTTCTTCCTTTTCCACTGCTACTGTCATAGTTGAGAATTTTATTTCCACATGGATTGCCATTATAGTGACAACCCAACCCATTGCTGCTTTTTATGTTATCTGAACTGACAAATCAAGTTTCTTGTTTTTTTAATTTTTAGTCTATTGCAGAAATTTTATGACATGTAAAAAACAGAATCATTGGAAAATTCAAGTGAAAAAAGACCCAAAAAACGTAAACTTCATTCTAAGAAATTACTAAATTCCATACACATAAAAATACTGTCAAATTGCTAAAGAAGTTTTTAATGCTAGTTTTCTACATGTATCCTATCACAGATTAGTGACAAAGTTTTTGGGTTGGTCCTGGTCCACAGACAGCACTGAAGAGCACCAGTTCACAGTATCTGATGAAAAGAAATGTCTTCTGTTTCCTTGGATTATAACCACATGAGTTTTTGTTATTTAAAACTGAAACATTTCAACTAGGAATATTCTTTGCTTTTGGCTTATAAATAGTTTGTATATGTAGATTAGAAAGTTTCCTGATTTTTTAGTGTTACATTACACTGTATGCTAAACTGGGTACTGACTTAAGAATCCAAAGCAATATTTTGTTAAATAGTCTATTAGTATTCCTGTAATACCTGTAATAAAAACAATTTTCTCTGATTTGATATAATTTATTAGATTGACTTGTATACATAAAAAGTTTGCTTTTAATGTGTAGTAAGATACAGATTTGAATTAGATGGGTTGATGTGCTCCATTTCTGAAAGTTTAAAATTGTACATACATATTATTCTGACTGGGTGACAATGAATATAGGTTATGTGTATTTTGGGCAATTATCTGAATAAATCCTTGTTAAAAGTGAAGTGCAGGCAGGAGGCCCCATAGGATACCCCTTGGCTTTATACAAGATGTGGATGATGAATAAAAAAATAACAAAGCCCAAATTCTAAGGGGATAGAAATATGCTAAATATTAAGTTGAGATCATATTTAGAATTCATTTAGAAGTTTATTAAATAAAACCATACTGCCCAGACACCATTGCTGTCTACATTACATCTTACACAGAACAAAACATAATGGTAAGTGTCTAAGATAACAATCGCCCCATGTGAGGTAAAAATGTAAGAAAAGACCTTTTAGACATTTTAAAATTGAAAAGCAAAGTAAGCGGGCCTCCCCGGTGGCGCAGCGGTTGAGCACTGGGTTGCGAAGCTGCCCGCGGCCTCTGCGGTGCTGGTTCGATCCCCGCTGCTCCCCGGCCACCGGAGGAGGGTCCCACATGGCGCGCAGACCTCTCCTGCCGCCCGCTGCTCCCTCAGCAGTGTACTTCGGTCCTTCTGCCTGCTCTGCTCCCCGCTCTGGCTCTGGTGAATCTCTCACCCTCCCGTGCTTCTGACTGTACCCAGTGCATGTATAAACAAACAAATAAATGAATAAAATACATGCAAAAAAAAAAAAAAAAAAAAAAAAAAAAAAAGAAAGCAAAGTAAGCAACTAACCTGCAGCTGTGCCAAAAAATAAATAAATAAACCACCAATGAAAATTTCTAACTATTCATTAAGAATTAAATTTTTTCATTTTATTATAGCAATATTTGCTCTGTTAATGACTTAAATGATGGCAAGTGAAATTAGCTGTGAAAGCACAGTAAAACTTCATCACAAGAAGTGGGGGCCTTAATGGAAGTTTAGAAGATTAAGTTCCCAAAGCAGATTGTTAAATTTATCACCCTTCTTCACTTCCAGATCATTCACAGGAGATAGATGGCAGCTTGCTAAACCCACACATAGAAAATGATTTAAAGTGTTATTCAAAGGAAATTTTTATAAATCATGTTTTAATTGAAGTAACATTAATTAACAATACTGTATATGATATGGTTCATATCTCTGTAGAAGAATGGTATCACATCACGCCCACCACCAAGATACCAATAATCTACCATCATAGTCCATTGCCCCCCCCCACCCCCTTTGGTTCTCACTCCCCACCATCCCCCTCTACAAACCTCAATTCTGCGGTCAGATTTTTAGGGTTTGTTTGGTTTAGTTTTGTCTGTTCCTTTGTTTCTATATATTCCACATATGAGTGAAATTATCCATTACTTGCCTTTGACTTAATATAATCCCCTCCAATACCATTTGTATTGTCTCAAATGGTAAGATTTCATCTTTTTTTTATAGCGAGTAGTATATATAGCATATCTTCTTTATCTACTTATCTGTTTGAGCATTTAGGTTATTTACATGACTTGGCTATTAAATAGCATAGTTTTTATGAAATTTGGGATGGAGAGGAAGTAGGAAAAGGCAGTCTAATTGTAGTCTCTCTGATACCCAAAGCAGAAAATGTGAGATGAAATGAAAAATGCTTTTAAAAAGTAATAATGAAAAATGAAAGACAGAAAGAAAGTAACTTTTCTTACTTTACATTATAGCAAGTTAAGTTGAGTTATGGAAATGCAGGTGTTCACCAGGTAGACTGAGATGGAGAAATGACAACATTCTAGGCAAAGGGAACAGAAAGGAAAATAAACAAGAGAAGGCCATCATGAAAGAGTTACCTGACTTCTCAGAAAAGAAGCAGTTTGGAAGGTCAGAGCACACCCAGGAATGGAATATTTCCAGTGTTGGTGAGGATATGGCCACAAAGAAGGCTTATTTAGACCAGTGCTTCTCAAATTTATGTGCACATAAATCTCTATGGACTTGTTAAAATTCAGATTCAGTGAAGAGACTTGAGAGGCTTCTCTTCTAAAAAACTACAGTGTAATTTGGATGCTCTTGGTCCTGGTAGTACACAGACCACACTCAGTGTAGCCAAGCTGTAAATTTTATCCTAATATGTATTGATACTTTGTTTCATAGATTATGAATTACCACCACTGTTTAGTTGGTATTTGTTGAGTAGTACAGAATGCTTGGCATTTCTGTTAAGCTAGTTATTATGTAATTTTATGTAACTTCTGTTCTCCTTATGCTGGACTAATACTTGTAGCAACTTTATTGCCAAGTACAAAATAAATAAGTAATTTAAGTATAAGCGCTTATCCTTTATTGATGAGTAGGGGAATGCAATATAATAATGGGAAGAGTCTAAAATTTGAAATAAGATTTTTAGACCTTGCCCCCAGTATCATTTATATGACTTAAAATAACTGACCTAATAAAGAGAAATTAGCCAGTTTTTTTTTTTTTCTTATTTGAAGTCGCTATTATACCTGCCATTTTATAGAATTGTTGTGAAGGCTAGAAATGATATACATAAAGTTCCTTGTAGGGAAAGGCTAATGGGGGTTTCACTGATCAAACTGTTGAGATTCCTTAAAACTAAAACTCTTTAATTCTTAAAGAACTCTAAATGATCTATTCCTAGTAATTATTGATATATGCCTGCTTATTTACCATTTTGCTTTTTGAATCTTTTACTCCCTCTTACACTTGCCAAGTCGGGCAGTGTGGTTCTTTGTAGATTATAAAAACTCCTGCCACTACCTCACCCCAAGATCCACTTTCACTTACTGTGTTTAATATGGTAATTATAGAGAAGAGTAGGTTGTGCTTCTGAATGGTCTAGAAGCCATGAAAAAACAGATAGGATTATAGTTGGAATTGGGTTTTGTTATTCTTTTGCTTTCTATATAAAAAATTCTTGATTATAGAATTTTCTGTATAATTTGCCACTTTTAGTTTGTGGTAGGAGAGGTGCATCCCTCTTCTAGGAAAGAATTCAGAGTTCAGCATGTTACCATGTCATCATTCAAGCCTGTAAGTGGGTATGCCAGCTAGTGGTCCTCCCTAGGGGGAATGGAACTCAGGAAAGAGAACCACAAAAGTCCTAAAAGCAGGTTTGACACCTCTTAGATATGAATTCTGGGGATGCTGCTGTCCAGAACTAAGAAGGGAGACATGGACTGTGGGTTTTCATGTCTGCTGGATCTTACTGACTCTTTACTCTGTGTGGGAAGGCAAGCCAAAGCAGAACTTTCTAAAGCTCAAGAAGAGCCCAGGTTGTTGAGCAGGAGATGATTAAGGAAATTAATAATCAATATAAACTGCCTTTTTGGATACTAACCTGTTTAGCTTTCTTGTTTTATAACTCTGATGTACTTTCATTTACGTTTGAGTTTTTACTAGGTGATTCAAGAATTTTATAGGCATTTTATTTAAATTCAGTACCTCTAGGATGGAATATAAGTCTTAGTGATTTTAAAAAAAAATCTTAGATTAAATGTGGTCTTAATGGTAGATATTTTATTACTGGCTTTTTTCCCTAACTCTGTGCTTTGTCCTTATGTTTTGGTTTTTTAGATCGGCTTCAGCTCCCCAGGAATATGATTGAAAACAGCATGTTTGAGGAAGAACCAGATGTGGTGGATTTAGCCAAAGAACCTTGTTTACATCCTCTAGAGCCTGATGAGGTGGAATATGAGCCCCGGGGTTCACGACTGCTGGTGCGTGGTCTTGGTGAACATGAGATGGATGAGGATGAAGAGGATTATGAGTCATCTGCAAAGCTGCTGGGCATGTCCTTCATGAACAGAAGCTCAGGCCTGCGGAACAGTGCAACTGGCTATAGGCAGAGCCCAGATGGGGCTTGTTCAGTACCCTCTGTAAGGACCATGGTGGTCTGTGCTTTTGTCATTCTAGTTGCCATTTCTGTAATTATGGTGATTTATCTACTGCCCCGATGTACCTTTACCAAAGAAGGCTGCCATAAAAAAAATCAGTCAATGGAACTAATTCAGCCAATTGCAACAAATGGAAAGTTGTTTCCATGGGCGCAGATCAGACTTCCCACTGCCATTATGCCACTACGCTATGAACTTAACCTGCACCCAAACCTAACCTCGATGACATTCAGTGGTTCTGTGATAATTTCAGTTCAGGCTCTTCAGGCCACGTGGAATATCATTCTTCACAGCACTGGCCATAATATTTCAAGAGTGACCTTTACATCAGTTTCAAGTCAAGAAAAACAAGTTGAAGTCCTAGAATATCCATTTCATGAACAAATCGCCATTGTTGCCCCTGAAGCCCTTCTTGAAGGGCACAATTATACCTTGAAGATAGAGTATTCAGCAAATATATCTAGTTCTTACTATGGGTTTTATGGCATCTCCTACACAGATGAAAGTAAGGAGAAAAAGTACGTAGCCCTTTTTAATGATTCTGTTTCTTTGCTTTGTAATGACTTCTGCAATATGGATCCCTTTGCCCACAACAGAGACATTAACTGCAACTTTTTTTCCCCGCTAATTTAGGAGGTTCTATGCAAGATGGTAAAATGGTGATTTGGAAGAATATCTCACTTCTCTGGTGGAGGCAAGGGTGTACTGAAGTGAATAAAGATTATATCAGTTACATTTTATATTATAAAAACTTACATTATCTTGAACTTTTCATATCTCATAAGATTATGTAGTTTTCTGTTACCTTGTAAGGTCTCTGTAGGAAGCATAGTGAAGAGCGGTGTGGATACTCTTTGATACCCAATTTTCTTAATGTCTGTAACTCTAAGAGAGATGGAGAAAGAGGGCATGTAGAAGTGTCTACTTAACTATATCATTTTTAGTTTCCTTAATCTTTGCTAGTTTATTTTTTTAATGTTACTAAATTTGGATTTCTTGTGGAAATTAATAAAAATCTAGAAGAGACTTACTTTGGTTTAAAAAAAGGTGACTCAAGACATCAACATATCCAGCTCCCTATTTAAAGTATACATTTTATACTTTTAGTATTCATAGCTTGTAGTTGGAATTTCTGGGAAGATGCAGGGCACACTGCATATAGATTCTTCTTAAGTAGCAATAATGTTAATTAATTCTCTTAATGTGCACAAAGTTTTTGTTAGACCAACACAATGCATTTGGAACATTCTCTCATTGCCTTGTAAACCAGCATGAGAATAATTGGTGCAGCCCATTTGGCCAATGTATGTTGGTATATTGAGAGAAATATATATGAATATTTTAAATCTATCTTAAGATTATTTTTTGATCCTTCTTAAGTGGATAAAGTAACAAAGCAGGATCTGTTGTCCTATTGAGATAAATAATTTTTATCTTTTCCCCTTATGTGATACTTCTTAGCACTTCCTCATTTCTCATCTATGAGATATAACGTTAAGGGCAAATTTACAATTGCAATGGCAACTTCGAGCATCTTGGCTTAAGTTCTCCTATAATCTCCGTCATTTCTAAGAAATCCATGATATACATAAACACAATCATCTTAATATGAAAACAGACCTTAAAGACAAATCCCCTTGTCTTTGCTTTTAATGAGATTATTACCCTAACAGTCCCTTGGGCCTACTACTAATAGAGGAATAAATGTTACATGGCAGTAGAGATGACTTTTGCTATTAACATATGTTAACTCTTGCCATGGGCTGGATTGGGTTGTGAACAATATTTGAAAAATGGGAAATAGTTCTATAAAATTAAGAAATAGAGTATTAAATAGAGTATTAAAAATAATATTTTAAGATCTAGTAAAATAAATTTGTCTGTAAAACTCTATTATTAAAAAATATTATTAAAAAATATATAACTCTACTGACCCTACCAGGTTTAGCAAAATGAATGCTCATATAATGATGTATCTTGATGCAAAATAAAACTTTAGAAGATTAGTTATACTTTTTAAGATGTCCGAAACTATAATTCAAAGTTATTTTTTGTCTTTCTCCAGCTTTTTAATGTTGCTTAGTTCTATTAAAACAGTTTTCTTGTACTTTACCCTTCCTTTGAGTCATAATAAGAATAAATATTTAAGCAAGTAGGAAAAGTAATTATTGATTGGAAAATCAGATATATTGACACTGCCAGTGGTAAAGAAACTCCCTATGTCATCTAAAGGGTAAAGATTGTTAGTGACTTTACAGTTAAATCTAGTTGTTGATGATAGACTTTAGGATCTTGATAACAAACAATAGTAAAAGAACTAGTAAATTTAGGATAGGATGGCTTTGGTTTTTTGCCCTTCAATCTCTTAGTATCTTTCCTTGAACTCTGAAGCATTCTCTTAACTGGTGTCCTGCCTGTACTCTTTCCCTTACTTTGTGCCCTCCACCCCTACCCCCACATTTTCCACACTGCTGCCAGATTCCTGTTTCTAGAATTGCAGATCTGATCATGTTAGTCTTTGGTTTATGACCCTTTAGCACTTCCTCATTGTCAACAGAATTTAGTTCAAGATTTGGCCGTTTTTTCATCAGTGTAGTCCTGCCACTAAAAAAAAAAGCTTATGTGCTTTCCTGAATTCCAATAATAAAAAAAATCCATGTTTACTGAGAACTGAAATGCTAGGGCATTTTAAATCTTTCATCTTATATCCTGCCAAATAAGAGATGGATATCAATATTCCATTCATTTTACAGATGAGGAAGCAGAGAGACATAAAATAACTCTTTAGCATCACATGGTAGCAGAAGGGAAACCGAAACCTGAGGTTGTTTTAACCACGAAGGCTAGTTTCTTAACTATTGTAGTTTACTGCCTCCCTGTTCACACCTCTTTTCCTTTACCCATTGCTATCTCCAGTGTCTAGAATTCTCTTAATTGACACTCAACTAACTAATCATCTTCAGTGCTACTTGAGGTATTGCTCAAACAGCAACTAGTATTTCTGAAGGCAAGTACAGTCACTTATGAAGAATAAGCCTTATGGTATTCAATATAGATAGGATAGATTATAAGTAAATCAAGTGGTGGCCCTTCTCAGTGGGACTTTTTTGTGAGATAGTTATTATTGTATTTTTTAAACCATGATTTAAGATATCCCAAAATGATTATCATCATCAAATTTCATCTCTTGTCCCTGGTGACCCTCTTGTAAAATCTTCTGTCAACTTGCTGCCTACCTCTAGCTTCACTTCTAGTCACACAGGACCAACTGCAGCCAGACCTAGAATATACATTATTGTCTTTCCTACTCTTTCTAGAGTTTACTCTCTTCCCTTCTCTACCTGCTTGTACATTCCTCATTTTTTAAGGCCCTCTTCATCTTTTGTCTCCAGGTTCCTTACAGAGCCTTTAGTTGCTGGCCAGACTTTGTTTTCACTATTATGACACATGATTTGTAGCCCAACAGGTTTTTTGCCCATCTTATAAATCTCTGCCTCTACCCGTTGATCCCTTAATGACTGGGATTGTATGATATTTATCTTAGTATCCCTAGAATTTGACATGGTGACTTGGCTATTAGATACTCAATAACCACTGAATGAATTTGCATTTGTTTTAGGTACTTTGCAGCAACTCAGTTTGAACCCCTGGCAGCAAGATCTGCTTTTCCTTGTTTTGATGAACCAGCATTTAAAGCCACATTTATTGTCAAGATCACAAGGGACAAACAATACACTGCTTTATCAAATATGCCTAAGGTACTATTCTATTTTTTGAATTTGAATATATATGAATACTTCATTCTCTTTGCTAGGCTGCTCCTGAGAATGATTAAATTATTTTGATTTTCTTATTCTTTCTTAAAATACTTAAAATAGAAGTTAAAATATATTTTGGAATCAATTGGGAAGTTAACCTGAAGAGCATTTGAAGAAATAGACCTACTGAATATGGACTGTATGGGTAGGAAATGCAAAGTGAGTAATAGACATATACACACACACAGACATATACACTAGAGTTGTACAAATACACAATGTATATGCATGTGTGTGTATTTGTACACATTCACTGTGTACAAATATTAAAACTGTGAATTAGTAGTAAAGATCACAGTGATGTTTCATGAGGCTTCCTGTAAATTTGCTATTTTTTTTTTAAAGATTTATTTATTTATGCATACAAGAGCTGGGGTACAGACCAGAAGCACAGTGGGTGAGAGGTTTTACCAGAGACAGTGTGGGGAACGGAACAGGCAGATTGACCAAAGTACACTGCAGAGGGGAGCAGCAGGCGAGCCAGGAGAGGTCTGCTGTGCCATGTGGGTTGCTCCCTGGCTGGCCGGGAATCGGACTTGTGCTGCAGTGGCTGCAGATAGCTTCATAGGTTGTGTCTTAACCCTTGAGCCACCAGGGAGTCCCTGAATTAGCTATTCTTAACAACAGTGTTGAATTATGATTGTCCTTGGGGTTTCATTATTATTGAAAATAGTGTGGTAATGTAGAGGTTTAACTATAATAACTTAGACCTCTTTCTTGGATGTAAACCCTGCTTAGGAAACAGTGAGAGTAGACCTAAGCAGAATTATTTTGATGCTAAACAAAACTTAGAGGGCTGCTTTTGTTGACATTGAAGGGTGTATGTACAGCCTAATAGTAGCTCCTTGGACCTTGTGTGACTATCTGAGAAGAGCAGCCATATTTGACAGAGTATAGAATCAACTCTTTTAGTCAAGGAAGTACTTAACCTATCCTTTGAGAGGGATATAACTTCAACAGCTCTGCACCTAGTCATATTTATCACCTTCGTCTTTCTCTAAAAGAGGTGAATGGCTCTTAGTATCTCAATAAGTCATAATATGTGGCCAGAAAATTCTGCAAATTGCTTGCTTTCCCTTACCGTGTATTTACTGCAGACTTCTTTAGTGACTTACTACTTTGATTCCACTAAGCATTCTTGGGGTCATCAACATGATACTTTCCAAAGCCATTTTCACTCATCTGGAGGGACATGTCAGCTGTAGCTCCTTCTTTCATGACTCTTTTTAGCAGTAGAGTAGAACACTCCTAGATCATAAAAAAGGATTTGATTTTAATGGCTTTAAAGGAGAGAAAAACAACTACTGTAACTTCCTCTTTCTAACCTATGTTTATTTAAACCATCTTTTGACACTGAAAACACAAATTTTCAATGTACTTGTACTCAGCATGTCCTCATGATGAAGGACAGTAGAAGAGACTGACACTAGGGACTATGCTCCATTAAGAAACTAGCACAGACAAATTAAAATATGCCAACATCTTTACTACTTATTTCTTATTTAAATTTTCAGTTCCTCAGTTTACTTATACAGAATTATTT